TTTGTTGCAAATTTTTTGCCTAATGTTCTGGCAAAAAATCTTCAGTGATGTGGCTGAATTATCATGTTGCATGCCATTGCCTAATCCTCCATTTGTGTGAGGTCCCTTTTGTATTGTATGGTGGTTCAATCAATATGCAACTCATCTTATTTCAACCTATGCTGGAATCGAATTCATTGTCGACGCTGCAGATAGTTGAAGAACTCGATTGCTGTTTTTCAAATCTTTCAAAGTCCTTTTTTGCAAAATATAGCTCAAAAGTGTAATTTGCTTATTGAGAAGGGGCTTATTTGGAAAACAAGCTGGATGTGCCCTAGTCCAGATACGTGCTCTATGCACTGTAATCGCTCATGTATTATGTTATAACCTTAGTAATGTAAATAAATACATGAGTTTTCAAAAGGAAAAAAAAGACGACGACGAGATGACTCTTGCGTCATTGTTATCCTACACGAATATCAATTAGTTAAGTTGAACCTGTTGTTTCTTGCGTCATTGTTCATGGCCAATGCGATCAGCAAGGTGGTAGCCGCAAGCGATTGCCTGGGAGTTAGTTCAGGCAAATTTTGTGAGCCTGAATTGCTGCTGAATGAGTTAATGAAAAAAAATGCCTCCTACAGTTTTTTTGTCTAAAATTCCATATTGATGTTGAAGATGAGATTTAAGCTGCTACGCTTGACTTCATAAAAGGAGGGTCGTAGATACATGCATGATGCTCCCTCCATATTTAAAAAAAATATTAAACTTAAAAAAATTTGACTATAAATATATTTCTAAAATATTTGCTTTAGAAATTGAGATCATTTGTATATATTGATCTTAAAGTACATTTCAATAAAATCATAATATCACACATACACACACATGTGTGTGTGTGTTTGTTTGTGTGTCAAAAGTTATAACTTTGGGAAACCGTCTCCTTATCCAAAACAATGTTTATTTTCAATCTAGAGGGATCACTCTATAAATGGGTACATACTCCCTCTGTCCCAAAATATACAAGTCTTATACGGAATCATACCTCGTATATAGAAGAAGTTTCGGATAAGGAAAGACAAATAGAGTTCTATAAATGACAAGGACTATTCGGATTGTATCCATATTGATCTCCCTAATTCTACTTGGACAAGAGGACATCTATGGGTATAAAAGAAGACCCCCTAGGAGGGGAGGCGAGACAGATAACACACAACAGACCAAAAAAATCAACACACAAGCCAAACATCGACATCATATATTAGACAGACCCAATCTAGTGCCTATGGAGGCCGACAAAGAGGGATCTAGCGCCATCTCTGATCTCGATGAGTTCATACTTGAGGAGAAAGACTACCCTGTCGTCGACTACGTGTTGGTTATCTATGCCGCCAAGTCGACGACAGCTAGATAGGTTATCCTAAGTATTGTACTTGTGTGATCCAGATGAATAAAGAGCAACACCGGCTTCGGCCAATAGGAGTAGGGCTATTACCTGTCAGATAAGGGGCCCGAACCTGTATAAAATCCTTGTCTCTATCTCTTTTACCTCAATCTCACATATACCCTGGTACCGACGATTTCCATACCATCCAAATACCGTAGTCGTGACCTCAAACGTCGACAAGAAGGTCCCTCAGATTCCAGGAAATGGAACCCGCGGTCCAAACACGTGTTGAATGGAACTTCTATTAATAGTCCACAAGTTTTAACGTATTTACATTCAAATCCATGACCCCACATGTAAGTCTAACACATTTTACATTTAAAACATTACATGATTTAAACATTCGCTATGTTGGGTCTCTACTCGCTAATGAACATGGGCCCACATGTCAGTGTGTTGGCAGCTGGGAGCAGAGCAGCGGCGCAGCATTGAGGTTTGCAGCGTCGCCGGTGGCGAACGGCGTCTCTGCTGGGTTACGACTAAAAGAGAACGAAGAGGAGCTTACGGTGAAGCTATAGGTTGTCTTGTTGCAAGCAACGGTGGCCGGAATCGATGGCGACAGCGGTGGCTTAGTTCGATGTATCGAGTCCCCTCAAGGGATTTGAGGTCGCCGCCACGCTCGGCCGCTCCTCTCACGGGGGGATTCAATCTATAGGTTCGTGTAATCATGTCAATACGCATCTCTGCCGTGAAATGGCCAACCATTATCTTATTAAGAAAATCACCTGTGTACCCCTGAAAGTTTACTCAATCCTTTCTATAGCCGTGAGATTTTCTCATTCCCTTTCATACCCCCCAAATTTCAGTTTGGATCCCTTCCATACCCTTTCCGTTAGATGATCGTTAGTGGACCGTTAAATTCCTAAGATAAAGTCCATTTTGCCCTTTGGTAAATTTATGAAGTATATTGATAGAGTGTATAACTTTGAGTTTATTTTGCGATATATTATTTAACAAAAATAATATTTTAGTTTTGCCTCCGCGAAGGCAAAACAAAATTTTTTTTTATCTATGACAATATTTATTTTTATATATAACAAAAAATTAATATTCTTTACCATTAAAAATTGTATATATAGCATATTTTGTTATAGTAGTACGACATTTTTAAAAGAAAAATCTATTTATGTGCTAAATAAGTAATTTTTAATAACTAACAAATAAATTTTAACTTATCATAAATATTATTTATGACTTTGTTACGCAAGATATTATTTATGATAATTTATTTTTGTTATGCGAAATAAAAAATATTTTTGTTAAATAATATCTCACAAAATAAACTCATAGATATAATAATCGCATGCAATAAATTTATATACTCGATCAATATACTTTATAAATTTATATTTTCTTGATACCAAAGGGCAAAATGGACTTTTTGATAGGAATGTAATGATCAACTAACTGTCAACTAACGAAAGGGGTATAGAAGGGATTCAAATTAAAATTTAGAGGTATAAAAGGAAATGAACAGATTTCAGTGGTATAGAAGGGACTGGGCAAACTTCCAGAGGTACAAAAGAATTTCCTCTATCTTATTTCACGTCATCGCCTCACTAGCCCATTTGACGACCATGGTCCATGGGTAGCAAATAAAAACATATAACAATAGATGTTACTTTAATATACATGTTTAATACAATGCGAGTTGTTTTTTCTATAAAACCTTAGTTATAGCCGGAGCTGGTGGACAAAAGTACTACTTTAAAACCAATGTGGTGATTATGTTTTTTTTTTCGTTACAACTTACAATGCATGGATATCTTTTTCAGTAAAAGTTAAATATGGATTAGCCAAACCAATATTGCTTTTGCTGCACATTTAGAATGTACTCCCTCCCTTTCAGATTATAAGACTAGTAGGGTGCCCGTGCTATCGCCACAGATGTGATCTCTATTTAAAAAGGAAAGTAAAATTAACAGCGTGCATGATGTATATTACTCCGTATGTTGAGAAAGATTAATCGAAGCAATTACAAATTGGGCACCTAGATTTTTGAACATTCTGAGCTCTCCTTTTGTAAATCATTTCAGATGTATCATATCATTTAATGTTTACATTCGCATTACTATATTGTATTATATGATTGTAAAATTGTAAGTAACTTGTAACTGAAGTACTTCTCATCGTATGAGGTGTTGTTTAGTTTCGCTCAATTCTTTCACTGCAAGGAGGGATGCACAAGAGTTGCAATCAATTGGTTGTAGAGCTAAATGAAAGGCTTCACCATGTCAAGTCGCCCTTTTGTGAGCAAGGCTGGGACAGGGAGAAGTGCTTCGCAGCAAACAATGGGTACTACCGGATTAGTCCTGGGAAAACGAATCCATTAGCAACATAGCAAATACAAACATCAAATATTTACATGAAAATATTTTGTTGTAGCAAATAGGCTATGCATGAGGTGTCTACTTCTGAGTACCTTTAAGATGTACATGAAAATAGTGTGTGCAACAGTGCAATCCTATGTATAATCGAAAGTAAGTTGTTCTTGGTAAATCTTTCGGGGATTGTTTGGTCCAAGTACCAAGAAAGTAAAAACAGAACAATTTACAAAAAATGTATTGATATGTTTATCTTTTTAAGCTTTTGATACATGGTCTATAAGTAGACATTAGACAAGTAATTTGCGACCAATAATAAGCATGTTATAAAGTATTATCAGCCTTAATAATATCTCAAATGGAGGTAATTGATCCCAAATCACAAAGTTTCATTCCTGAATATTTCTAAAAGTTCAGACTATCCTCCTACTGATAATAGCATACTGAAAATATGCTAGCTGCAGATTATGACTACTTCTAGAATATGATATCCTTTGGCAATAACAGCTAAAAATTTGTTCAGATGTTAAAAACTGTACATGTTTCCATACTAACATCCCAAAAACAGACTAATTGTTAACAAAGAGAAACACACTTCACTTTAAGGAAATGACTACAAAAATTGGCAACCTCCATGAGTACTGATACCATGCTTTCTCCAATCAAATTATTTCTAAAAAAAATCTAAAATTGTTAAGAGATAGAAAAACACATGATATGCAAATTATCATGTAACAATTAATGCGATGACTCCTATGAAAAAGCTCATGTACCCATTGATTATGTCGGCAATAATAATGATAAAGAGAATGTTGTAATATCTCTCCTGATTAATCGACAGTGAAGTTTCAAAAAAGAAAAAGAACAGCATTTGAGTTGGCGCATTTAACTGTAGAAGAACTATGCAAATTTCCTTAGTTTTAAACTGGAGAAAACACCTATTAGAAGCCTCTGCATCATCAAACTCAGCAACTTCCCATGAGTTCTACGTGAAGTTGCCCCTTTAAAACACTTATGATTACTTGCATGTAGAAAATGTAAATTTAATCGCTACAGACTATAGGTAGATTTCATTTCCTTCTCGCATATGTTGTCATGAAAAAATACATGCAATTAGCACAAAGAGATGAATGTTGCCGGGTTGCAGTTTGGCAAATAAATGGTATAAATTTTCATGTTGTCACATGAAAATAGAAAGTCACAATTATTATTTTCAACATGGACACTTGGACAATAGAACATGAATGATGCCATTAGAAGATAAAAGACAATGTCGATAACAAAATGCTGAGTATGTAACATGAATTTGGTTTTGTTTACATACTTATGGCCGAGCAAAATTTAATTACACAAACCAAGATCAACAAAAGAGCTTCTTTTGGGATCATAATCCAGATAACATAGCAAAATATTTCTTTGTCAGGGAGAAGCCGGGAAAGCAGCCACTGAACTGCCCCTGCCAGTTGCCAATCATGGGTTAGACAGCAGTCCAGCACACCCATCTAGTTAAGCAAGCAGAGCAGATCGAGACCGAATGAAATGGTGTGTAGAGAGGAGAACGGTTACCTGCGCGAGCTGAAGTGCGGAACGAGGTGGTGCTTCTACTCTCACCCCTGCACTGCTTGAGAACCTGATAGTAGCAGCCTAACAAGTACCAACATGACGAAATACAGACTTAATTTCTTTCACACATAAATAGGAAAAAGTATACTTTGACTCCCTCAACTATGGTCCGAGTATGATTGATGACCTCCAACCACAAAACCGGGTATATTGACTCCTCCAACTATCAAAACCGATGCAAACTATATCCTTGGGTGGTTTTAGAAGCGGTTTTGGCTGACGTGGCACCCACGTGGCGGTGTTGACCCAGTCTTCGCCCCGCGTGTCGTCGACGTGTCGCTTATCTGGCACATGTAATAAAAAATTGTGGGACCGACATGTCATTCACACAAAAAAGAAAATAATGGGACCCACAGACATGTGGGCCCGCATGTCATCCTCACCTCCCCCCCCCCCTCTCATCTTTTCCACTCCTCCCACCTTCCAACAGTAGAAGCAGGGCGGCGACGACGCACGGGGTAGGAGCTCGCCGGCCGTCCACGCTCGGGGGAGGATCTCGCCGGCCGGCCGTGCGCATGGGGAGGAGCTCACCGGCGTCCGCGCGCGGGGGAGGAGCCCGCCGGCCGTCCGCCTGCCGGGTGAGGAGCTCGTGGGCGGCCGTGCGCGGGGGAGGAGCTCGCTGGCCGTCCCGCGAGCTCGCCGGCCGTCCGTGCGCAAGGGGAGGAGCTCGCCGGCGTCCGCGCGCGGGAGAGGAGCCCGCCGGCCGTCCGCCTGCCGGTTGAGGAGCCCGCTGGCTGTCCCGCGAGCTCGCCGGCGGTCCGTGCGTGGGGGAGGAGCTCGCCTGCCGTCCGCGCGCCGGGGAGGAGCTCGCCAGCGTCGGCGCGCGGGTATGGAGCTCGCCTGCCGTACGCGCGCCGGGAGAGGAGCTCGCCGGCGTCCGCGCGCGGGGGTGGAGCCCGCCGGCCGTCCGCGCGCGGGGGTGGAGCCCGCCGGCCGTCCGCGCGCCTGGGGAGGAGCTCGCCGGCCGTTCGCCTGCCGGGGGAGGAGCTAGCCGTGCTTTAATTTGGGCATACGTATATATCGATCGATCGATGCATATGCATGCTTGCATATGCTTTCACTGTTCTGGATATGGTTTCAGATAAGCTAAGTAGCTCGCCCGGCCGTCCACGCGCTGCCGCCTTCTTCGTCCTCCCTCCCCTGACTGCAGCTTCGGGGAGGAGCTCCTGCTTCCTGCTTCTGCCTTCGTGCTTCGGCCGGCTGATGGAAGGTGAGAGGAAAAAATGAGAGGGGGAGGTGAGGATGAAATGTGGGGCCCACATGTGGGTGGGTTCTACTTTTTTTTGTGTGTGAATGACATGTTGGTCCCACAATTTTTTTTTACTCTAATGCCACATAAGCGACACGTCGACGACACGCGGGACGAAGACTGGGTCAACACCGCCACGTGGGCGCCATGTCAGCCAAAACCGCTTCCAAAACCACCCAGGTATATAGTTTGCACGGTTTTGATAGTTGAAGGAGTCGATATACCCGGTTTTGTGGTTGGAGGTCATGAATCATACTCGGGTCATAATTGAGGGAGTCAAAGTATACTTTTTCCCACATAAATATAACTGTTATTTAAATCCAAATGTATCCTAAGAGCATGTGCGGTGGTATAGAGGAAAACTCTTTTCACCGCCAAAAGGACATAATAATCATTTAGTTTAGTCAGTCTGATGCAAAAGATTCACTTAGCCAAGAAAAAAGGGAAAAGAGAAAAATGCATAATTTTATCAGTTATCACCATGAATCATTTCGTCTTTTTGTCATGTACTATCATGTTAAGCTCTGATCAGGTTGAGGGTACGCTACAGGACCCTAGAAAGACCAAAGAATCAAATAATGTCAACCAAGCTTGACAACTTGAGCACTCAAATTTCCTCGAATGACCCTGTATAGACACAGAAACCAACAGGCACATGAATCACGCATACATATAACCTCATAATGTGTGACAGCCTATACTCCCCACTCCTGCGGGCTCGTGAACAAACAGATTCTGCATGATCAAACCATGTCATATTAGGATGAGCATCAAGGGTAATCTACCCCAGTTCGCCACGAGTGATTCATGAGGCTCGTGCTGGTGCCGCTGCAGTTACTTGTATTTTAACCCCTAATGATGGAAAACAATGGGGAGGTGGAGAAAATAGGTACGTGACTGAAGTAGTTAAGATTAAGATACAAATTAGCTCACCATTCATGACTCAACCACTTACGGTTTAGGGCATAAAAATCATCATGAAAAATCCAAAAAATATTCTACATGTCAAGGTTCTGTTCAGTCTGAAATGGCAGCAATGGTTAATTTCTTCTGTATCGCTATGATTTTAATATTTTGAGGCATAATAGTTGTAACACAAAATTGTGTTGATCCTGCAAGCAGAAAGCAAGTAGATCGCATATACATACCTGTCCAGCCTTTTCAATTTTAGCCTCACTTCATGAGGCATCCATTAGGTTAATTGATGCAATAAATCTTCCTCACATGAATCTCCACCTGCCAGCAAAAACAAAAGAACACTCCATTAGCTAGTCTCCTAAACAAACTACAATTGGCAAAGTTTGTAAACTGTCGCAGGATTAAATCGAGCTAATTGTGACAGTAAATTAAGATGGGGACAAAAAAGATCTAAAAGACCATCATCTAAGATGAATATTCATCATCTGAGAGAATCATAAGAGGGCTACCACAATAGTGATTCCAATCCATTGTAGAACCGAGTATTCAGCATCCTAGAGCTAGAAGACTATACGAATATGTATTCCAATTAGGGGCGGACCCAGGATGCACCGGCACACCCAAAAAAACGAAAAACTTATAGTATATAGCATGTATTAGTTTGGGGCAAAAGTTTGAATAAGTATGAACGCATGAGCCAGCCCATCATAGATGCATGTGTGATGTGTTGTGCGCTTTGCATCGTGCAAGTTCCCCGCTTCACCTCGCATTCGCGTATCCACTTGGCATCGTATGAAAGGTAGCTAGGGTCAGGGCATCAGGCGTTGTTCCACATTCAGCGAGCGGCGGCGGTGACACCGAAGAGCACGACATTCAACAGGCCAGAGCACCGATATTGGTTGGACGACGAGTGTGGAGCGCCGACGGTGGAGACGAGAGCCGCAGCCACTAGCATTTAGAGACATGGCGAAGCAACGTCGATGCGCGCCCGGTGAGTCTGTGAGCAACGCAAGGAATGCAGCCAGCAGCAACCACATTGACCAAGGCAAGCAAGCAGGTCCAGCTTCGCATCATCTATCTAAAACTTCAGATACAGATATACTCTTTGGGACTTTTAGTCTCTCACTATTTTTAGTTTCTTTGTCTCCCTGAATTTTCTTTTAAAGGAGAGCTAGAGATTGGTTGAAAAATTGAAAATTCTGAAATCAGTTAATACGAAGAGGAACAAGGGCATTGTCTTCTTTTAGCAAGGCATTAGAAAATCCAGATTATGCTTTGTCTAGGCCATGTACAGGGCTCCATATTTTGGTGTATAAAATGCTCGGTTTGCCTATATTTTTGTGTATATGCTCTAGACCAATGTGTAGTGCTTGTATTTGTGGGCACACCCAAGGTATAAATCCTGGGTCCGCCACTGATTCCAATCTACAGTGGCCTTACGAAGGGGCTCCTTAGGGGGTGGATGATTGATTCCTTGCTGGGGGACGTGGCGAAGCACACCATCTGGGAACTAACCCCTGCGTCGGTGCTCACGATGAGCACGCGGCACGGTGGTCGCCGACCCCGGTCCACATGTGGCTCGGCTGGGTGGCCGGGGCACTGGGGATGGAGGCGGTGATGGGGAGGCGGTGCGGTGGGCCGGTGGTGGAGGCGTGGCGAGGCGAGGAGGATGGGCGCGGCGATGGGGGGCGGCGCGAGGTTGGATGCGGAGGAAGCGGGCGCTGCAATGCAGAGCGGCAGTCGGGGAGGAGGTTGCCGGAGCAGAGGGCGCCGCCGTTGGTCGCCGGGGCTCGCCGCCGATCTTGATCTGGCCACAGAAGGGGGACGCAGAGGAGATCGACGCGGAATCGCGGGCGCGGCGATGTGGGGATGCGCGAAGATGGATTGGGGGCGCTTCTGTTGCGCTGATTCCGGATCTTTTCTGTTGCACGTCGATATGAAGCGTTCGTTTTTTTTCCACTGTCACGTGTATACGTTTCTAAGTTGGATGCACGTCTACGTTGGCTTCACCATCACCACTACAGTTTTTTTTTAAGTAGTAGAGATTATAAATCAAACTACAAGTTTGACCAAGTTTTGTAGAAGAAAGTAGTAATATTTTTAACCTAAGACAACTTATTATGAAAATATATTAAATTATTGATTTGATGAAATTAATTTAGTATTATAAACATTACTATATTTGTCTATAAACTTAGTTAAATTTGAAACATTTTGACTTCAACCAAAGTAAAAAATACCTTATAACCTAAAACAGAGGGAGAGGGAGAGGGAGTAACATAGAAACACTCATCGGGTAGGCATCAAGACTTGCGGCGGAAGATTCTCACCGGGATTGATCACAACCGTAGTTCCTCGTTTCATGTCGTATACATTCAACACTTTGCCATTGATACCCCAGTAATAGATGCAATTCCCTTTCAAGCCGGTTTCTTTTGCATCAAGTGACGCTCCAACTCCCAAGCTGTCTATCCCAACGAAGAATACTCTGCCATCCAGTGAATCCACCTTCACCCACGCCGATCTCTGCTTCTGCGTCGCCACGCTAAGTTTGTAAACGCTCACGCGCGCAACGATCCGGCTGCAACCGATGGGGTGAGAGAAGAAAACGTGGTGCAGGTCCCCGTTTGATTCTACCAAGTTACCGGTGAGCCGCGTGTACCCTGCTGGGCATCCGTGGTCGCCGTCGACGGCGGTCACGGTGAACACGGGCTCCGGCGAGAACTCGAGGACGGCGACGTGGTCGGTGAAGTCGGTGTAGAACTTGCCATCGATCGCCGTAAGATTTCCTATCGCCCAGCCGACGCAGTCACGGTGCTCGTGGTGAGGCGTCCCGGGCTGCAGGTAGTGATGCACCACCCCATGGAGGTCTCCGGGGCGGCAATACCAGAGCACCGTGTCGTCGAAGTCGACGACGACGACGACGCAGCCGGGGTCCGTGGGCCGGCGGCGTGACAGGAGGCACATCCGGTCGCAGCTGTGGGTGAGAAGGGTGCCGTGCGTCGTGGTCGGGAGGCAGGGCGATCCGGCGGCCGGTGAAAGGGTCCCATAGGAAAGTCGTCGCGCACGGTGAGGGCGAACCGCGGCGCGGCGCCATGAGCAACCAGCCCTGTGCCGTGGTCCACCGCCGGTGGGCTCTCGTCGTGGCGTCCATGTTGTCGTCGTCGTCGACCTCCTCGGCAGCAGGGCTCTCGTCCGCACGCTGTACATGAAGGTGGCGTCGTCGTCGTCGTCGCCGCCGAACAGCAGCAGAGGAGCAAGCTTGGGATCCAACGACGACGGACATTCATTATTGTCTTTCTCCTCCATGAATTCGACGGATCGATCGATCTTTTCTTGTGTGAGAGACGGCCGGTATTTGTGCCGTGTCTTACTTATACACGATATATATAAGGGTAGTTTAATTTGCGGTTGCCTGATCGTGTTGTCTCATGATTTCTATTGCAAAGACTGCAATTGTAAAGATGACAGAAAAAGAATCCACCCGATCGAATTACACTTGGAAAATATAAAGTATATGCACGCCTACACGACATCAGATCAATTAGTACCAACCATAATCTGCACCGGTAATTAAATTAGGAAAAGGAAGCAGCAGCGTTTTTTTAATTTGGCAACCAATAAGAACCCGATCGACGGGTTACAAGCTGAAACCGACCCATACATCGAGCGTTTGTGCATAATAAAACGCTGCGTATATACGTACCATGTCCATTGCTGACACGCACGTGTACTCGTGAACTTTATCCCACGTACGGGAAAAAAGAAAAAGAAAAAAAAGGAAGCGAGATGGCGGCGGAACGGGACTGGTCGTCTCTCCCGTCGGATATGCTGGCGCTCGTCCTTGAGCGGCTCGGGTGGTCGAGCCACCCCCGGCTTCGCGCTGACGTGCCGGCACTGGCGCTCCGCCGTGTCGCCCTTCTATCCAGCGTGGATCACCCCGCTCCTACTCAGCTGCGCGGATGTCGTCGGTCGAACCAACATCAGGTACTACAGCCCCTACTTCGAGGTTATTATGCAGAAGGCGGCGTCGTCCAATGATGCCACCAGGATCTTCTGCTCCAACGAACAACGCCTCACGTTGTTCTCACCTTTCTCCATCTCCCAAATCGATCTCTTGACGAGCGTCGCATACGAGTTGCCGTGTACGCCCCATTACTCCTACGACTTCATCGTATACGACGATGGCTCGCGGAGGGTGTACTGCGTCAACACGACCCTGGCGCTACAGCTCACCCGCTCGACCGAACGGAGTTCAACGTGGAAGCAGGGACACAGCTAATTCCGGCGGCGCGATCAGCAACCCGGTGCTCCACGATGGCTTGCTGTACGTTCTTGGTGGAGATGGGAAGCTGGCGGTGTATGATCCATGTAGCCACACCGATAATTTTAGACTTCTTGGTTAACCTGACAACTTTGGTATTGACCACCAACAAGTTGACAGCCACCTCTTTGAGTCGGACCAAGGTGAGCTCATGGCTGTCCTCGTCGGCTACAATGGTGCACCTATCCATGTCACTAAGCTCAATGAGACGACGATGGAGTGGGACAAGTTAGAGACCTGGGAAGGACGGGCGCTGTTCACGGGAACATACACAACAATGATGAGGAAGACTAAGTTCAAGTCGATGCAAAACAAGGTTTTCCTTCCCAAGTTGTATGAGTGGCCTAAGACCATCCATTTGACCTTATTGTTCGTGATGGTGAAGCAGCATTTGTACCAAAGTCATACTCACCATCTAGCATAAAGAAGATCATCTCTAGTATGAATATTTGGTCATATGAAATTGGGCGGCAAGAAGAAGAAGCAAGAGAGTTTTGGGGATTGGAGAGGGTAGACTATAGTATATGGGTTGATTTTAGTACTAGCTAGCTGACCATAATTACAGGATAATTATTTGTAATAAGAAAGATTGTAAGAGACGGTAAAAATAGCTCATGGTGCTTTCTTTTCTCGTATCTCCATGTTCACATGTGAGAATTGCAATTTACGAGAAACATGTGGAATATTATTTTGGAAATAGAGCCTTTATTTGTTTTTTAAATATTCTACATATAATTTGACTCTTTATGTTTTCTAATTGATATATGATGTTTTAATGTGCATTGCAAATTTTTTAAAATTTGTTTTTGACAGTTTGGTTGACATGCAGCCATGCAGGTCAGGATAGGACCGAAAACAACATATTTTTTACAAGTTAAAACATAGCTAATATTAGTCTTTAGTTGCTAATTTAGTCTCTATTGAGTTCAACGACGCATAAAGAAGGATAAAAAAAATTAATAAATGGTTTAAAATTTATGATTACTGATTTTTTAAGTGATGAAAATTTAATCCGATTTTGTTAGCGATGTAAAAAAAAGAGAGAAACCCAATAAACCACCCATGGATTCGTAGCCGATTCATCGCAGATTCACCTCATTGGGCAGCCAATTCATCACAGATTCAATCATAGGAAGGGGAAAATCAAAAAGAGGAAAAAACAGCAAAAGGAAATCTCTTAAAACATTCATCAAAAAATAAAATCACAAGGAGGGGATGTTGGGGCCCAGCGGGCCTACTACCGCCACCCTCGACCGCGCTCGTCGTCATCGTGTCCGCCGCCGCAGCACCTGCTCCAACCGTCGCATGCTCCTACGCCCAACACCAAAAGATGGGGGAGGAGGAGGAGGCCGTCGTCGCTGCCAGCGAAGGGGGGTGCCGCAACAAGGAGAGGAGGACGGATTGGGGCGAGTGGAGCATCGAAGGGGATGTCCCACGAGCAGATTCGGCGGCGATGACATCCCCTTTGACGCTCCACTCGCCCCACTCCGTCCTCCTCTCCTTGTTGCGGCACCCCCCCTCCCTTTGCCGGCAGCGATGACGGGAGTGAGAGAGCAAGGGGATCGGGAGAAATGAATTTAGGGTTAGGGTTTTGGCTACCGGGTATTTATCTAGGTTGGGATCAATTGAGACCATCCATTAGATCGGACGATCCCATCTTATCCTGCGTCGGGCCGCCAAATGGGCTGTCCGCGGAAAGCCAAATGGGCCAATTTCAGATGCCTGATGCTCTATGTATGACTTCTAACTTGAGTCATTGAGAGTTGCCCTATGTAACGCTTATGTGTGGCCCTATGTACCCAGGAACAAATCATGATTTGCCCTCTATGGCCGCCACCACTGTCATTAGGGTCACCGTCCCCTATGACCTCTAGTGCCGAGAGTCGCTGCCGCCACTAGAGAAGAGCCTCGAGCGCCGTTGGATTCGTCACGCGAGACGGCTTGCTCTCTTGCAAGTGTCGCTGTCGACGCCTGGGGAGAAGTCGATCCACCTCCGTGTGCCCTCTTGCAACCTAGCTAGCTCTCATCTTTCCTCTCTGTCTCCTCCTCATGATCTCCAATCCCACCTCTACATAACTTCTCATGTTAGCGCGCCCACTCACACGTGCGCCCAAGGAAAACACTCTGCTCTCCATCGAGCTGAGTGGCAAACGATGATGCGCCCCAACACAAAATGGAACACAATGTCCCACACTCCCATGTCAACGTATTTCCCAATGACGCCATATAGCGAGGCAACATCCTTTTAGCTTCTGTCACTTGATAACAACGGTTCCAATGCCAAAACAAGTAGATCTTCCATCGGGCAATTTAGTCCCCGGATGGTAAACCCACAAGGGAAACATGCAAGGTCTCTCCTAAATTTCCCCAACAGTAGCACTCTCATCCCTCCGACCCCTCTTCATCCTTCTCTCTGGAGATTTGTCACCAACGAAGAGTGAAAGAGGGGTTAGGTACCATCCTACTAGTAGTTGTTGTTTTAGTCGGGTTCTCCCGTTTGTCTAGATTAATCTAGTCGATCTTGCTCTTGTTGTTCTAGAGCTGGTCATTGGTGCTGCCATCATGGAGTTCACTATGGGATTTGATCCCACCGATGAGTCACTACGTCGACGGGTCCTTTCTACTGGTTAGAATGCCTCCAGATCTGCACGAGAATAGGTTGCACCGGTCTACACCTATATCTCTGGTGAGCTCATTCCAAGGGTGAAGGCCTTTTTCATCTTCGGTGGAAGTTCTTCATGAGGTGACTAATGGTGTCGAGCCAACCCAAGTTGACCCCGACCTCCTATGCATGGAGGCCCCTTTTGGGTACGGTCTTCGGGTTCATTTGCATCTTGCTGTGCTTATTATGTTTGCTTCGCTGGTGTCATGGATTGGGGCTAGACCTTTGGAACAACTTCTGTTGTGTCTTCTTTGGCTAATGCTTTGGCAAAAATCTTCTATGATGTGGCTGAAATATCACATTGTATGCCATCGCCTAAAAATCCATTTGTGTGAGATCCCTTTTGGGATAGTACAGTGGTTCAATCATGTGCAACTCATCTTATTTTAAGCTATATTGGAATCAAGCTTCTTGAATTTACATTACTAAGGACTCGATTGTTTCTATTTTCAAATCTTTCAAAGTCCTCTAGAAAACTAGGATGTGCCATAGTCCATATGTGTGCTCTATGCATTGTAATTGCTAATGTATTAGTATTACGTAACCTCAGTAATGTAAATTAATACATGAGTTTTCAAAAGGAAAAAAACCGACGACAGCGAGGTGACGTTAATCAGTCGTAGCCCACATGACTCCATTGACAACGGTTGTAGCTTCCCCAACTTCCACAACAACACTACCCCTACACATCAATAGTACCTATGAACCGTGTTGATTGCGTATATACATAACACCTCACAATTTTAATCCATTATCACATCGTGTATGTGCCATTTTTAATATCCGAAATAATCTTATTTGCATCAGCATCCGCACCCTATCAATTTTTTTTTTTGAGAGAAGCCATTTGACGCGCTTTATTAATCTGTAACCGTAGTTGCATCATTCACTAGATCGTTCAGCGAGAAAAAAAGGATTACCAAACTAGACGATGGGGCGCGCCATTGGCGCGCCGCCTGGAAGAAATTCAGTCGGATCAGAGTGCTGTCATCCTGGGTAATAATAGGCTGTAATTAGCAAGCATTGATGAGTGATTAGCAGAATATGTCCTTGCAGTGTGTATTTAGGCCCAGAACCATATGCTTTTAGCCCGATCTTGGTTGGACTGATGTTCAATTAACGGTAGAATGACTGCTAGAACTAATAAAACAGACGTCGAAATGGGCATTCAAAGAAAGGTGTAAAAACAAAGCTGTTAATCTAACTTAAATCATTCTAAGTGAATGAAACAAAATATTCAGTCTAACCCACGCCACATGCACATATATAAATCAGAGTAAAATAAGAAACACAATGCACCCTTTTAATCTGCAGTGGGATGCTGACGCTGGAACAGTAGCGTAAGTAATATAGGAATGACTATAAACTGACAAATCTATTAGATGGAAAGAGCAGCAATATTAGAAAGCTAAGAGTCTATAGAATATTTGTTATACAAAAGGATTTGCATGAAACAGCTGCATGGTGGATACTGGACACAAATACTGAACCATAAAGCTAACAAACACCTTAACAGGTAGTTCTTGTAGGAACACCTTAACGAGTAGTCCTCTAAGGAACATAACGCTATGGCCGTTCAGATTGGTGAGCATCTGACGATTCTTGACGTTGAAAACGAGGCACTTCGGAGATACCAGTGTAGACATGTAAATTCGGCTTTGTTTTCTGAAACCTAAACAAGGCAAATTAGAGTTTTGGTATCAGAAAATTTGGGCAGAAAGTAAATTCTACTGACAATGACATAAGGAAAAAAAAATGCAGAACGCTAAGTGCAGTATGCCGAATATTTTTTACGTCTTAACCAAATTGAAGTAGTCTCATTGCCTGTGAACAAGCATTGCCCAACAAATATTGTGGCACTTGGCTTCACAGCCTGCAAAGAACAAAAAAAAAAGTCATTTTTTATATCAAACTGAGCATATGCTGGAAATCACAGTGACAAAATAGTAAGTTCTATAAAAGAAGGACATGTCTGCTTGCAACCATTCGTACACAGCATAATAAAATTTTGCACAAAAAGGTATTACCTATCCGCTTGCAATCATTCATGCACAGCCTAATAAGATTCCGGAAAAAATAGAACTGAAAGGTATTACCTTAGCAAGCCCAGCGAAGTTAATTGGCAGTACATGTGAGGAGGCCTCCTGCCCCTGGTAAGGGGTGAGAATAACAGGGAGATGGAGGCTTTGCTCTTGTTCACCACCTGCAACTCTGGGCCGACTGTGTCAAGCATGACCTGCCAATGGAGTACAGAACGCAAATGTCAGTATGCAAAAACAACAAAAGCAACACTAAGAGACCATGACCATGAATAAATCGAACTGCAGTATATCTGAAGGTGGTGAGGAGGGGGACTCACGGCCCAGAGCTTCTTGGTGGACTTGATGGCGAGCTTGAGGATTTCAAGGGTTTCCTGGTGGTACTCGGCGTCTCTCCACAAGAAATCATATCAGGCCACTGCAATTCACACCACACAACACCACGCAAGAGGATTAGAACAGCTCGAGCAGCCACTGCTAAGAGGAGGAGATGGCGACGCAAGCAGGTTCATTACCCGACATGCCAGCCTTGAGGCAGGAGGAGATGGTGTCGACGGAGTGCGACTATACAAATAGGAAAGAAACAATATAGGAATTTAGAATATAGGAAAAATATATAAAGGAGTAGAGAGATCATTCGGGAGCAATTTTTACAAAGTTGACAAAGAATAGGAATTTAGAATATGTCATATTCACAGAGAAAATTACCTTTGCATATTCATATACTCGGTCTTGTGACAAGAACCGGGTAACGAGTTAACGAACTACTCAGTTCTTGCCACAAGACCGGGCCTAAGAATATGCAACACCGAGTTTATGAATTTGCAGTAGTAGGTCATATTCACAAACGGATGCTGGAACTTGAAAAAAAGAGTGGGTGTAAGAATGTATTAAAAAAAATCACATTTGTATATTCACAGACCCGATCTTGGGACAGGAACCGTGTCGCGAGTGAATGAACAACATAGAGCGAGTTCACCAACTACTCAGTTCCTGCCTCAAGATCGGGCCTAAGAATATGCAACACGAAGTTGGAACCAGCGGAACGTTTATGAAGAAGAGATGTAGTTGTGTGCTAGGTTTGGTTGTTATTTATAGGGGATTGCAAGAAGCTACGCATAGTGACAATTATTAGAAAGAGACGACGGCGCGTCGGACTGTTTCACTCGTGAAGTGAATAATTACAAAGGGACACCGTCACTTTCGGTGGCACATGCTGCTTAACTGTTTGCTTTAGTAATTACTACGCGACGAAGGCACTTTCGGCGCAGTGGAATCTTCACTGTTTAATTGTGAATGATTGATTCTCTGTGACATGTCCCATGATTGGAAAGAGAGGATGCCATTTTAGGTGCGTATGATTGCATCTCTGTGAAAAGAAATTAGTATGTAATTTAAGTCACAGTAGTAAAAAGTAATACAACTATCCAATTTTAACCGCACGAGTAACATCGAAATTGCACTATTAATTTAGTTTGTGAGACTATTATTTTTGTTAGCTCTCGTACGAAAAATTATTAGTTAAGCAAAAATCATATGTGTTAACTGCGTACAAAATAGGGCGTAAAAATATGAGATATTTATGAACGACGAAACATCGTACATAACATGAAGAATAACCAGTACAAATAAATAATGTTCTCTGCTAGTAATAGAAAGCCAAAAGCATAGCAAGGTTCAGACAGGGTTGCCAGTGAACTTAAAGACATAATGTTAACCTCTACTCGTCATCATGGTCAGTCATAGTCCTAGATATGCCAGCGGGCTTTTTTGTAGTTTTTTTCTTTCCTCCTGCGGCATGTCGAGGGCCTGAGAGTGACAGACGGTTTGGCTCATGGCGCTCACGGTTAGATCTATGCGGGTCATTGTTGTTTCCTTGTAAATCGTCAACCTCTGGTTGTGTGGGCTGTGTCACCCGGGGTGCATCATCAGTTTGCGAAGCCCGAAGCTCATTGGGTACCAATGATGACCCTCCACCGAAGCTGGAAATGTCACCGTACGATGCAGTGTAAGGCCTAAACCCTGACATTAGTTCAGGGCGAAATGACCCTACATAAGCAATGTAGATATCAATGAAATTATCAAAGCTGGAGCAAACAACAATAACACAAAAAAAAATCCAAACCTGTTGACGGTGCTTGCATATATGGAATTTCATTACGATGCGAGGAATATTGACCAAATAGCCAATCACCTTGTTGCAACAAGTCCATATAACCATGTACTCCACCACCAAACGACGTGCCTTGCATCCATATAAAATGTCACGGAGTTATTATCGTTTGTTGAAGTGGGAGTCATGTATGACAGGAAAATGCCATCGATATATGTGTATAGAGAGTGATGGTTGTGCGTACCACCGTAATCTATGGATTGTGCTTTCCATGGGTTGGTGCCATATGTAGGTGCATGCAGTGGAACCGACTGAGTAGGCCCTGTTAATTTCAGGAAGTAAATAGTCAATAAGATTCCTATACATGAAAAATTAATAAATTGAAATAATAAAAATGTGAAATTAGATGTAAGTGGAGACTGACCGCCTAATGACGTAAACCCTCCTTGACCGATAAATTCTGCTTCCACTCGGGGTATGGTACGGATACCTTGGCTAGTCCTTGTATATGCAATTAATTAGCAACAAGTAAAATTACGTGTGGACATATGCGTGACAATATGGTACTGAATGTACACGGACATGCAAATGGTGCAAATCCTCCCTGCCAGTGTGAGGTTGGCACATCGGGAGGCATTTGAGGAATCATATGTGGCCTTGCATGAGGCATCTGAGCCACGGGACGGACCATTCGCGTTCCCTCTGTCATCAATTGGAAAACATCATTTAGTCATTTCACATAAACAATTGGGAAAAAAAATCAGCATTTTTATGAGCTATCCCGTACCAGCGAACGCCGCAAACCCACCCTGCCATTGAGAGGTGATGGGCGCAGAGCTATGTGGGGGTACCCGTTCCGGTTGTGCTGCGAACATATAAATTAGTCGTTAATATAAATGGCACTTAATTTGGCATTGTGTAATAACGTATTTTACGTTGAGTTGAACCGAAGCCTCCTAGGCGTTCCGACATTTGAGTGATTTCTGGGATAGTCGGAATAGTAGGTGCCTCACGAAACGAAGTTGACCTTACTGGAGCACGAACATCACTGGATCATCGCGCGGAGGCTGAAGGGCGGGCTGAGGTGGATGGCCGGGAAGAGGTAGAGGGACGCTCCGGCATTTGCTCGAACGTCCTTATTGATGTTGCCGGAGTATACACGTTCGAGGAATGTCGGCACGACGCGAGCCGCATGATTCGTTTACCTTTTCTACGGAGGGAGTCGACCGTGGCCATAACTTCCTGGTTGGTACCCGCGATACCATCTCTAAGCTTCTCCCACAAAGTTTTCGCATCCCTTACTAACTCCCCTGCAATGTCGGTCTGCATGGAACGGAGCAACAGTGTTAGAAATTGGAACCCCATGTATAAGGAGACACCGATGCAATAAAATATTTAAATGCGAGTAGTACCGTCAAGTGAGCGGGGGGTGCTAGCTACAGATCATATATTTGCTCAATAGTGGGTGGACCTCGCTCGTCGGGATCCTCGGGTGCAAGCAGCCGGATGCGAGTCTGCGATGAGTACCAGGCCATGTATTGTTCGTAAGTGTTGTGATCGTATGCCCTGGTCTCGTGGACGACATCATTCAAGGCCTGCGACCACGCCTCTATCCATGGGGTCATCCTTAAGTGCATAGATCGACGATACCTGTTGTCAGCTTGCCTCTTTTGCATGAAACAAAAATACAACAATTAGCTGTTAATTATATCTCACAATGTTGGAGAGCACAGAAATTAAAGCGATGTAAAATAACAACATACGTGTGCACATCTGGTGGAAGGTGAAGTCCAACAGGAACTGGAACTTGCTGGTACAGTCCCATCTGACGCATTACCCTTTGAACATTATACCCCTCGACGAATATGTCGTACACCAGCATTTTTCATGTCATCCAGTACGCTTCATCGCGGTAGCATAAGATGCTAACTCCATTTGGTCCACGCAAAATGGCCTCTTCGTTCGTGTACGGTGTCCACCGAACTTCGTTTTCCCTAAGGCTTTCGAACGTCTCGGTGAAGTACTTGTACACATTGTGCACCTGGATTCTCGCCCACTGTGGCTGCACGATCGGAGATTGCAGATTTAGTTATGCAGTATCATTGAATTGACAGAAATATTCCTTTAATGCAAGCATACGTACCGGTCCGTAGCACCAGCGAGTACCGAAGGTAGGACGATCATCAACTGTGTCAGCGTAATCGTCCTTGTGGGCCACGGCCACGCTCATGTATGGATGTCCGAACGAGAAGTGCTCGTACGACCACAACTTGACCAAAAGTGGACACCCTGTGAAAATCGCCTCCCTTTGTCCGGTCTTAACACAAGCGTCGCAGAATCCACGGTATGTGGCTGCAAGGACGGCTGATCCCCAGCTAAACTGTGCAGATGGCACTATATTACCTTCAGCAATTTGGTGAGCAAGGGGGATAAGCCTGGCGTCCACAGTGTTCCCGTGCGAGCCGGTGAACATGACTCAACCAAACAGCCAAAGTAGATAAGCCTCAAGGTACAACGTCAGTTGGTACTCCTGGACATTGTCAGGCATATATCGCACCTAAAAAAACAATGTGTTGTGAGATATGTGAATGTGAATGGAATATGCCTTAATTAAAAATATTCAATTACCTCAAACTATGACAACCACTTCAATGTGGGGCCATGAGTTTATTTTTCAGAGAAAAATATTTTATCCTCATCATCGTCTGTATCACCGGTAGCGTACTGTGGCAGAATACAGGCATATCGTGATACAATATCATCTCTCCAATCTTCCGAAGGGTCTGGAAGTACAATTGCCTGGCTGGCTATGGGCAACTCCGTGAGCATAGACACATCCTACAAAGTTATGATCATTTCTCCGCACGGTAGATGGAATGTATGTGTCTCTAGCCTCCACCTATCAACCAATGCCATAAGTAGGGACTTGTCGATATTTTGTCGTCGTTTTCTATGTGCCCCCATTTGTTTTTGTTTAGATTCTCTAGCATCGTAATGCATCGTTGCCTGCGTCATCTGAACGAAGGTAAGAAGACCTGCAGCTGACAACCTATGATGAAATTTATGTTAGGTAAGAAGACCTGCGTCACATTAGGATATGTTATAGTACGATATCATTATGTTGTAAACTTTAACCATTTATGCACCTCGGCTTCCATCGTGGATCAATCACCCACCATCCGGCTGTACGCGGTATCAGGACAGCTAGACTAGAACAAGAATTTCCATCAGATATCTTTTTTGCACGATGTCGTGCATCGATCTCTTTGCTAAGCAACGGGTAAGGCCACTCCTCTTCCATATCTGCATGTACATCATGAAAGGTAAATTAGAAATTTCATCAAGTGCATATACGAAAAAGTACATAATGCATAAAAAAAAGGAATACAATTTTCTCAGAGTACGAATACAAACTCGAGCACACCTTACGAAATAGGTTTAAAAACGTTACAAACTTGGTAACACCTTACAATCAAATATTACAACATTACCAGAATAAAATAAATATTACACATACTTATATTACACATATTACAAACTTATTGAACTACAACGTAATGCAACATATATATCATGACCGAACATACATAACCAGACAGTGTAGATGATAACTACAGTAGGTTTCCTTCCTCCCTATCGTGAGCCCCTTGAGAGCCCCTTCTATTCCTCCTTGCATGTCGCGACCGAGAAAATTGCATTTTCCCGAACGCTAGTGTATTAATCCCCGTCCCAGGAAAAGCCGGGGTACACCATACAAACATGATATAAAAGACACATCTTTATTATATCGATAATATTTACATTATTACAAAGGCACTTAAGGCCTGACAATCAAAAATAAACAGCAGCGGACTAGCGGGCCTACGGCTCCATCTTCACAGGCGCTCAACTGGGGTATAAGCCAAGACTCCACCTAAGACTTCTTCTCCAAAGC